AAGGACTCCACCTTTTAATGGCAGGGGCTGCAAAGATTCTTTGGCCATATTTAATCTATCACAGGCCTTGGAGATAGAAAACAGTGAAGCACGAGGGTGAGAAGATGGGGACTGAAGAGCATCATGTGTCAATAAGGACCGCATGGATTTGGTGTACCCACATCACACTTTTCAAAAGAAGCTGGAAATCTAGATTAAAAAAAATATATGAATAGATCTTATTTTTTAGAGCAGGTTTAGGTTTACAGAAAAATTGCTCAAAATAATTTAGAATTTCCACATTACTCTCCCCATTCCCACAGGTTCCTCTATTACTAACATCTTTCATTAGGATGGTACATTTGCTACAACTGATAAACCAATATTGATGCATTATTAATATAACTATGATTATTAACTAAAATCCATAGTTTATATGAGGACTCACTCTTTCTGTTCTATGGGTTTTGACAAATACCTAATGTCTTTTTTTTTTAGTTATTTTTTTTTGGAGAGGGAGTAATTAAATTTATTTATTAATTTTTTTTTCCTAATGGAGGTTCTGGGGATCGAACTCAGGACCTCCTGCATGCTAAGCATGTGCTCTACCACTTGAGCTATCCCTTCCCCTGACAAATGTGTAACATCTTGTACCTATTAGAGTAACATACAGAAGAGTATCACTGCCCTAAAAATGCCCTGTATCCATCTGCTCATCCTTCCTGTCCACTAATCTTTATATTGGTTTTATAGTCTTGCCTTTTCCAGAATGGCATACAGTTGGCATCATACCAGACTGCAGTCTCTTCCTTCAGAGTGGCCTTAGCAGCGTGCATTTCAGGTTCATTCATGTCTTTCCAAGACTGGATAGCCTTTATCACTGAATTCAATATTTCCCTGTCTGGATGGACCACAGTTCATCCATTCACCTGCTGAAGAACATCTTGGTTGCTTCCAAGTTTTGGCAGTTATGAATAAAGCTGCTACAAACATTTGTGGGCAGGATTCTGTGTGGACATACGTTTTCAACTCATTTGGGTAAACACCTAGGAGTGTGACTGCTTGATTGTGCTGTATGATAAATCTATGTTTAGCTTTGTAATAAACGGCCAGCTTGTCTTCAGCGTGGCTTTCTCATCTGAATTCCCGGCAGCAATGAATAAGACTTCCTGTTGCTCTCATCCTCACCAGCATTCGATCTCAGTGTTTGGGATTCTAGCCATTCAGATGGATGTGGAATGGTATCTCATTGCCTGAATTTGCAACTCCCTAATGACACCGATGTTGGGCATCTTTTCATATGCTTCTTTGCATCTGTGTATCTTCTTTGGTGAGGTGTCTGTCCTGATCTTTTGCCCAGTAGTTAATTGGGTTCTTTGTTTACTTACTGTTGAATTTTAAGAGATCTTTGCATGATTAGGCTACTGATGTTTTATCACACATGTGTTTTGCAAGTATTTTCTCCTGGTCTGTGGCTTGGTTTTTCATTCGCTTAGTCATGTCTCTCACAGAGCAGAAGTTTTTAACCTAAGTGAAGTCTAACTTACCAATTTTTTCTCTCATGGGTTATGCTTTTGGTCCTTGATCTAAAGAGTCAAATTCAAGGGCACCTAGGTTGTCTCCTATGTTGTCTTCTAGAAATTCTGTCGTTTTGCATTTTACATTTAGGTCTATGATCTATTTTGAGTTAATTTTGGGAAAGCCCTAAGGTCTGTGTCTAGATTCATTTTTTTTCTCATGTGGAGGTCCCGTTGTTCCAGCATGCAATCTGGACTTTGGTGTGAAGTGTCCTGACGTTAAAGGCTGGTTCAATCTTTTTTTTCCTGGTGGTTGTGGTGGGGGAAGAACTAAGCTGTCCTTCCCCAATACCTACGTCCATAGGCTGTTTGGCAACATCCTGGATCATCTCTGCCTCTCTCATTCCCCTTACCTGAAATGCTCTTCATCCTCCTATATCATCCTACCCACGGCCCCCCTCACATCTCATCTGTTCCACCTTTCCCGATTCTCTGACTGCTCTGTGTACCTAACAGATACCCAGTTAACAGCTGTGAACGCCAAACACTGTTTGAGCTCTAAGTCCCATTTAGTACTGCCATGTACCACTGTCCTTCCTCCGTAGCCAGAGTGTACACTCTTGGGGAGACCAGGAATCCTCTATTTCTCCTTTACCTCAGGTAGCTCAGCATAGGTCTGAGCACAAATTAAGTCAATTATTTGCTGACAATTTTAGAGTAGCTGGACTTTGGTCCCAGTTTACCTAGTGTCCTTTGATCTTTAGGGGAGATGGCTACCTTAAGAGGTCTAGCCAAGGACCTGCCAAAGATGGAAATCCCGCAGCCTTGCCCTGGCACGGCTAAAATGGTGCTATCTCTGGTTCTGATGCCTGATTTAGCATTACGCCCACATACACAAGAGGGCCTTGATCTCTGTGGAGAAGTAGGAAAGATTTACCAGTGAGACAGCAAAATGTGGTCTCTGAAGTATCAAAGGGTGCTGAGTCACAAACATGTTTCTTTCATTATGATTGCTACACGGTGAGAAGGATCGTTTCAGTCATTACGAGAACAATGAAAAACAAATCAATGAAATAAAAAGAACGGATAGTTTTCTGATGACTGGTTCCCCATCTTATGCCTAATTAATAGTCAAGGTAGTGGTAATCCCCCACCCCTTGACTCGGTCTTCTGTTTTCATCCACGTCATTAGGTATTCCCATTCAAGGAGCTCTGTGACCTCAAGATGAATAAGGACAGAAGGAATGAAGGGTCCAGAACTGAGGCTGAGACCCACGTGGTCTCGGCTGATCATGACTGAGCCCATCACCATGGCAGCAGGTGTGGACAGACTTCTGAGAATTCACCAGCTCAGGAAAGTACTGCAGCTTCTCTTTGCCAAGATGAGCTCATGGTGTCCGTCCCTGGGCCACCCGGGCAAATCCCGGGCAGAAAAAACTGGGGAGGCACAAACTGGGTCACACATGTCATGGCCCTGGTTTTCAGGAACGGTCGGGGAACCAGCTTCAGAGTGACTGGGGCCGCCGGCATGGCCCTCATCAGGGCCGTGGCCAGCTCAGGTCAGCACAGTTTCTACCTTAAGAGCAGCCTTTCTGGAGCTCAACGCTCACAGGTATTAACTAGTTAGCGATTCACTGGGCTGGAAACACAGCCACACTCCTACCTCCAATCCTCCTCCGAAAGCAAACAAGTAGAACTGTTCCCAGCATCACCCTGCCTCCCCCGAGAAAGCCTCCAGGTCTATAGCAGGCAGGGAACAGGCCCACAGATGGCGTGGAGCAGGGGAAGTGACCCCCACGCCCGCCACTGCTATGTTCTATGTAACACAAAGCACATCTAGACAACTGAAAAATAAAAAGTCCCCAGCCCCCTCCTCTGTGACCTGTTTAAAAGACATACCCCCCACTTTCCACTTAGCTGCCAAAGCAGTCTCTTTGGACACTCTACTCCAAATTCAGGGGCAATTCAGAGGGCTCCCAGCTGCTGAGCACAAAGATTAAAGACCACTGGTTGGCACTGCTGGCCGAAATCAAGGACTGGCAAGCCATCTGGGCTAGAATTGCAACCTTGCTCATGCTGAGCAACAAATAACTTGAGCAACTGCTAGGTTCAGAGCTTTAAACAAAACTAGAATGTCTGTAAAGTCTAGGAAAACAGCTCTAAGGGTCCCTGGCAAAGCCCTACTCCAAGGGAGGGAGGTGGCGGAGAACCAGAAGAGACTCACCGCCCATGAGCTGAACAAGTTAAATTACTCGCGTTCTTGAGGCATGAGTCTACTTCTTGGTAAACAAACACGTCACCAACCAAATAACAGGTAAGGGATTAAATTTTTTGAACATCAAGGTAGAATTTAAAGCTGCCAACAACTAAAAACAGACCTGATTTTCTCAATGTACGATTTCATCTTACCCTGTTTTTACATTTTCAGTAGATGTACTTCTTATGTTCATTTTCGAAGCATTTTTCCTTCCAAGCCTTAATATTCCTTAGTTGCTTCTAAGGCAAAAACTGTCAGACCCATTTTGCAGATCTGTAAATGTCTTAAGGAGCCAGAATGGCGGGGCGCGACCTTGCAGCCACAGCACGAAGAGGGGTGGGAGAAGGTCCTGACATCCTGGTGTCTCACCAAGAGCAACGACTGCCCTGGAGGCAATTTGTGGCTGAACCTCAAACTATTTTCACTAGAGAAAGGGAAAGCCAACTCTGCTTTTCCTGAGTCTTATACAACTGTGGCCGGAGAGTCCAGCTGTCCCGGCCATGGCCCCACATTCTTTGTACAAAGTCTATAGTGGACAAGGTTTACAGGGCGGTCTAAAGAAGCACGCTAAGTAATGTGGGATGCAACCACAAAAGAGAACTTTCTGGCCCAAGCAGAGTGGATCTAGTTTCCGTGGAGGATGGGAAAACCAGCCTCCAAACTGCCTGTCTCAGTTGGGGGTGCTTAACTTCCAAGGACGAAGCAATGGAGGTTCTTCTCTTGTACAGCATGTGCCCTGTGATCACAGTCCTGTAAGGTTTCAGGAGCTGGAGACTCACAGGGCTCCTGGGGGCTGTCCTCTCTGGATGTGGACACAGAGATAGCACCGAACATACTCAGCATGGTCGGGGACAAGGGAAACCGTGACAACACGAATGAGGGAAACAGACTTAGCTACCGATCTACTGAGATACCGCAGTGCCTGGATGTTTGTAAAACTCAAAGGAATTGCTTTTCATGCCCAGCAGCCAGCACAGGCAAATAGCCATCACCAAAGCCATCTCAGCAGGATGGTGAATCAAACATCATCACGGCCAAGAAGCAGTATGTTAAGAAGAATGATTCTCCTTTGAGATGATGATGCTGAAAAAAAATCCAAAACAAATTAGCCAAGCTCCAAGTTGAGGGTGAAGGTTTAAATCATGTTCAGGGGATAATGGTCTGAGTCGGATGGGGCCAGACAGCACATTCTGGGCAGAATGGCTGACCCAGGGCCCCCGTGGCCGACAGCGGGACGTCAGACTTACAGTGAGTTGGGCCGGGTGGGTTTCAGCATATCCAGGTCTGGGTCACTGGAGTTCATGTTGGGCTGCAAGCTGTTGCTGGAATTAAGGATGCTGTTTGCATTCGATGAGACGACAGATTCCGAACTGGAGTTGATGAGGCTGTTTCTTTGTTCCTCTGGGGGAAAAAAGCCACAGATCACATGTCAATATTATTATGTATGGATAGTCAGTTTCTACACATGTAAAAATTTACAAATAATGAGATGGGATGGCGATCTCTAGTCCCAGTGAAGCTAAGAAAAGGTCATCGGATGAGAATTACACATGGTAAAGGAAGAGTCAAAGAGTAAGAGGTGACTTGAAATGTTAGAGCAGAACACCCTCCACTTAACAGGACACATCTCCCCTTTAATATGACCAGCCTTTTCTTAAGAGTGGTCCTCCCACCCCACCATGCATTGTGTCTTCTTTTGACTGGCAGGTGGTCAGAACAGAGAGAGCCTTCAAAGTCTCCTCCAGTCAACCAGATCCTCTTGGTTTCTGTGACGTTCACCTTTTATTCTAGAACTCCTGCCCCCAATATTGTCTTGATTGCCCAAGTCATGTCCTATCTCTGATTCTATAGCACCAGTCCATAAATATCTACCCTTTGGCCATCCACTTCCTTATAACTCTGCAGTCTAAATCCCTGACCATGCCCCAGACACACTCCTCTGGGTTGCCTCTAGCTCCAAGTATTTGATATTGAGTTTCAAGTTAGTGCTTTGATCAACCGATCTGTGACCTGTGACTACAGAGTCATCTACATATAAAAAACTAAGTCTATGGTCCAAGCAGACATACTCGTCTTGGAGAATGTTACCAAGTCAGAGGGCAGAAAACCTGAGTTCTCTTCAAGACTCCACCCTGACTGGCCATGGAGAGTCGGGCAATGATCCTTGATGCTCTGTTTCTTGGTTAATGCAGTGATGAAACAGGGACCATGAGAAGCGCCATGTACAGCTTGGGGAGCTGTCACGAGGATCGAGTGGGATCATGTACAAGAATGTATTTTGTAAACTTCAGAACACTGCTCAAAGAAGAGAACTTTTTGTTTCTTCCCATCTTGAAAAACTTGGAACCACGTGCTGAAGAAAACATTTTGGGGATGATTTAACTAAATGGCACGGGCACCACTGCTGTAGCAAAACATGACAGACAGGGAATGTCACTGTTGTTCCACGTTCCTTACAGATGTACCAAACTGGGGTCAACTGATGTTTTGGGCAATCAGTTTACTTATCAAGAAATATCATATCTAGATTAATCCTCACTGGACCTTTCTGAAATGAGCCAGAAGTATACTGTACCCTCAGGAAGAAAGACTAAGCTGGTCGACATGGTAGTTTATTTTTAGAATTAAAAAAAATTTTTAAGTTTACTACAAATTAATGTTTTGTTTTTATTTTAGGGGGAGGTAATTAGGTTTATTTTTTTTGCTAAGCACAAAATCTACCACTGAGCTATACCCTCTCCCAACATGGTAGTTTAGAGATCAACATTTGAACTCAGGTCTTTTCAGAAAATAAAGGGCGTGATGTCATGATAAAAGATACCCTTCCCTTGTGCTAGTCATGTAGGTAAAAATATATTATGCTTATGAAATGATGTTAGAGTAATCTTCACATCAGGTACACACATACATACACATACAAGCACACACACACACACACCACTAACACCTAATACTGGGAAATTCTCACTGCTATGCTTAAAGCCCTATCAAAGACTTAAAAGACCCCATGAGGCTATGGGGAGATTCCTGAACTCTAATTAGATCCTGCAGAAAACAAATTGTTAAGTTGATTCCTGAGACTTAGAACTATTCACATTTCAAAAGCTTAAGTTTCAAACAGAAACAACAAAGAAAGAGAAATCAAAAGAGTTACACTGAGCCAAGATGTAGGAGGACTAACAGGGCCTGCAAATGGGAACTTGCTACCAGGAAGAAAAACAACTCTAAAATGACACAATTAGGGGGATCATTGAGGGAATGGATATGCCGCTTATCAGCATGAATCAGCGTAAGTAAAATGTTCCTCTGCACAAAATACTCATAAAAGTAAAACACTGCGAGGAACTCAAAACTACCTTTACTCCAAGGGTAATAATGATGACACTTCTTCGGGGGTTCAGTGGAGACATTTTCTCCCTCGTATGGCAGGAGAGATGAAGGGTTTTATTAACTCTGGTTTGAGGCCAAGTTTGCCTGACATAATCATCTGAATTCATAGGAAACGGAACAGTGTGACTATGGGTCCTGTTTCTCCTACGATGATAGTTACTTGTTCACAAGAGGATTGTAATTTTATGAATTAAAAATAATACCTTGCCAAAGGAATATTAGCTTTTCTAAAATATTATCAAGACTTTTTTCTGTCTTACTATTTATTAGAAAAAGAGGGCACCTGAGATGAAAACTTCTTCACTTTTCATTTATTCAGTAAACACTTACTGAGCCCCTCCTGTGTGTCAAACATGGTCCCCAGACAGCAGACTCCTGCACTTATTCCTTGGCATTTTATTCAGATGTAGACTACAGGATTTATTAACTTGTACTTATATATTTGTTCTTATGACTTCCTTTCTCAGTAGACTACAAGCAACCTAAGATGGGGCATTTGACAGACAAAACTTCAAAATCACAATTTAAAAAACGACACAAAGATGCTTTGCTTTATAAAATATTTTATCAGAATAATGCTAATAAAAATATGCTCCTTAATGCTCATAAAAAGATCTAATTCTGAAAGAAATGAGTTTAGGGCAAAGTTTTAAGAACCTATCTCCCGTTACAGTAACAGTAACCGGGTGTCTCCATGAGCTAGTGACGGAGGCGGCAGCAGGTGGAACATGATATTTGCCTCATATAAACCCGGAAGAGAACAAGGATATGGGTGGAAAATGAGGACTCGACCCTCCTGGACTAGAAAAGTCAACAGAACAAAACAAGTGGCTACACCCAAACTGGGCTTCAGGGTTTCTAGTATTTATTCACTGGAGGACAATAGAAATCTTTTTTTTAAATTTATTTTAAGAAATAAATTCTTTTCAAGATTCTATTCTCACTTCTATTTAGCTGCCTAGGACCTTTCATGTATGATGTATTCTATAACAAAACAACAAACGTAAAAAGACCAGGGAAGGGAATTCCTTGTCTAAGAAGAAAACACAAAAAAATTAATCATTAGATTTCATAGTTTTGCAGCCAAGACAGCCAGTTATCCTTTCTAAGAGGCAGGCTCTTCAGCAGTATCCCTTGATGGGCCACACAGGTAAGGAACTCTGGAAACCTGGCACTCTCTGACTACGAGCCACTGTAGTTTTCTTTAACATGAGACCTCACATAACGAGACCGAGGACTTTTGAGTGAATAGACTCCTAGGCGGAAATGCTGACAATCCTTACTGCGGGTGAGGAGGAAGGCGAAGATTATTCCAGAGACGGGGTGGGGAGTAAAATCAACAGCAAATTGAATATTTTAGTGGTTATGGCAAATTATATCACCGCAAATTCTGAAGCATTTGAAATGAATTAAGAAATAAAATTATTCCATAATGTCACTCAAAACAGGAGGATTTTTGTCGAGTGGGCAAATGAGTGCTTGCTCCTGACAGAAAAACAGAATGAGAACAGGCAGCTGAAAAGACTTAAAAAAAAAATTTAACCAAATCATTCAAATACCAGAGCTGGACTCCTTTGAGTCAGTGATGATTCAACCCGGCTCTGGCATCCACACCAGAAGGTATGAGAACGACTGATGGCAATTACGTTGCCGAAGGGAAAAAGATTATAGCCTAGCGGGCTGGAAAAGGAAAACAACCAACCAGCTATGAGTCAGGTCAGCAGGCTGGAATGACCAAAACAGAAAGAATGCCCACGACGCAGGAGGACTCCTAAGCTGGCTGAAGTCAGTGAGAATGCCTGCTTTGCTCAAACATGTTTGTCAACGGGAACCTCTCTTCTTACTAGCCACAGCTTGGAAACCAGGGTAAAGGGTAAAATAAAAGCCCAACCCATTGTAAACTTGTATGGGTAACACGCTGGATGCTTTCATGAACATCTTCTCTGAAGAGAGACAAACTGGATGTGGACTTGGTCCTTAGGATGCAGACCACTAGAGGGGAGGGCCACGTCTGCCCACACGGAATCCATCAGGCACAGGTGACGGAGACCGGTGAGGTCAGCTGTCACCTCATACACCCCTGGTGCCCAGCCCATGCACAGTACAGATTAAAGTGTCCCAAGTGGTCATGACATAGATGATAAAATATAAGGCAACATTAAGAATCTGAGTGTATTCTGCTAGTGCACAAGGAGGCAATTCTGGGTGATTGAAATTTTCAGGTGCTTCAGAGAGGGACCACTAATGTCCTTGAAACCAGAGAACGGGTGACAGCGGGCAGAGTCTGTGTTTTTTGTACAAATCAGGAGCGGAAAAACATGAGAATGCAACCAAATCACTGCAACTAAAAAAAGCAAGCTGCAGAATAATTTGGGTGATATTGTACTTGTTCTGGGGGTTGCCATGGAAATCTGGGCGCTCAGCTCCTTCACTTTCCATATTTACCAAGTGACTCCCACTCACTCTGACGACAAGTGCATCACAGACAAGAGGCAGGGTCTCTGCTGATCACAGGGACCTGGGGGCGAGGCCAGGAACGCACACCCAGAGCCAAGCCAAGTTCGCACGGCTCGGCAGGCCTGAACACGTCTGCGCCACTGACTACTCAGAGCTGAAGGGTAAAGAGGAAACACAGCCCTTTGATGTCACATTGGGGTTGGTTTCCCACCATGCACACAAGTCTGTCATAATCCCGGCCGATACCCCGTCTTCCCATGATGTCTCAGACCAGCTGTCAGAAAGAAGAGGGAAGGCAACTGTTCTTTAAAAGCAGCTCATGATGCCTCTCAGAGCACAAAAGAGGGAACGCTCTCCACATGATCAAACAGGGAGTTACCAGACAGATGGAGGTTCTGCAAAGACCCAAGGCTTCACACAGAAAAGATTAAGGCAAAAGCAAAACACCCAGAGGCTTTCCCGAACTGTGGCGGAGCGAGAGGTGTGCTTTCTCCCGCTTGTTAAAGTTTTGCAATGAAGTCTGTAATATATCATCTTGACAAGAGAGGATGATA